CAACTATTGAGTTTATAAAATTTTGTAGAGTTTCTGGAGCCATGTTGTTCAGGAAATGAATACCACTTCTCCTTCCAAGCTATATCATTAGATCATGTTCAATATGATACAATGAATATAGATTAAGAATAATGCTATTTTAATGTTCTAATGTTAATATTATGTTATTTCGTTAAAAAATACAACAGATTCTGTTTTCAATAGGTATTTGGACAATGTTTTAAAGCAAAGATGTATCTTCTAGGCTTCTATTTTTTTTTTTTTTAGATCATTATATTAGTAAATGCAAGAGCCACAGTAAATATGGGACTGTTTTTGTTAGTGGTGTCTGAGAATGTTGTTTCATAGTTGTGCATTGGTGCAAACCTGCTTGAAAACATGAGATAACCGAAACTCATAGTTGTTCATTCTAGTCCGTCTCATAACAGCCATCTCTATCAGGTTTGTAAGACTTTAAAGCTTAAAGGCAGAAGACTGCCTATTTTTCTCAGCTGATGGATTTAGACTGCCGATCTTTTGGTCTAGAACCCAACATGAAATAGATTTGTTTTCAAATTACAATTAAGAGTTGTCATTGTTGTTTTATGTATCATCAAGTGTAACCAGCTCATGGCTCACCCTCTAGTGGTTTTTCAAAAGAAGTCTGTTGCTATTTTTATAATTAGCCCTACTAAGATTAGTAGCTTGATTCTTGAATGATTTGTTCAGCATATGGATTTAAAAGGTATGGAGAAAAGTTACAGCCTTGACACATACCTTTTTAAAAAATTTTAAAACATGCAGTGTTCCTTTGTTCTGTTTGAACAGCAGCTCCTTGTTCCAAGTTTCATATATGCACAATTAATTGGTCTGGAGTTGTCATTGTCTTCAGTTTTAACTGTAGTTTGTTATGATCCGTGGGGTCAAATGCCTTTGCATAGTCCTTAATACACAAATAGACATTCTTCTGGTATTCAGGCAGAGTCCATTTGACATCAGTAATGATATCTCTGGTGCCATGGCATCTTCTAAACTCAGCCTGAATTTCTAGTAGTTCTCTTTTAGTACACTGGTTTAGCTGTTTTTGGATGATCTTGAGCTATATTTTTCTTGCATGTGATATAATGATATTATTTGTTAATTTCTACTTTCTTTTTGTATAATCTTTTTTAAGAATGGCAATGAATATGGGTCTCTTCCAGTCAGTTGTCAGGTATATGTCTTCTAAATTTCCTAGCAAAGACTTGTAAAGGATTTCCAGGACTACATCAGTTACTTTAAACATGTCAGTTGCTCTCCATTGATACCTGGGGCCTTATTTTTTTTTTCCAATCCATCAGGGTTGTATTTTGTTTCCATACCTTTTCACTCTGTATGCAGAACAGATCATCTAAGATGCTGGGCTGTACGAGGAGGAATGTGGCATCAGGATTGGTGGAAGAATCATAAGCAACCTGCATTATGAACACAACCCTGCTTGCTGAAACTGAGGAGGAAGTGCTTGCTACAGAAGGTCAAGGACTGTAGTCTTCAATATGGATTGAAGCTCAACATCAAGAAAACAAAGATTCCCTCCCGTAGGCCAATTGGCAGCATCAGTGTGGATGGTGAAGAGATTGAGTTAGTTAACAGTTTTTGTTTACTTGGTTCCACAGTCAACACTCTTGGTAACAGCAGCCAGGAAATCAGGAGATGAATTGTATTGGGAAAGTCAGCTGTGAGGGACCTCTCAAGAGTACTGAAGTGCAACAACATCAGGCTGGAGACTAAGGTGCGCCTGATGCAGGCTATAGTCTTTGCGGTTATGTGCTATGCTTCAGAGAGTTGGACAGTGAATAGGGATGATAGAAAAAGGATTGATGCCTTTGAGTTGTGGTGCTGGAGAAGAGTGTTGAATATACCATGGACTGCTAGGAGAACAAACAGGTTCGTTCTGGAGAGGGTGAAGCCAGAGTGTTCTTCCCTGGAGTCAAGGATTCTGAAGTTTCATCTGACATATTTTGGGCATGTTGCAAGGAGTGACTGGTCCTTGGA